GAGTTTTGGGGTCCATGTTTGCCGCGTATGATTTTAACTTTTTCAAAAAAAAGGTAGGTGTATGTTTGTGAAAGATCGTTTGCATTTCATTTCTTTACCTGAATACACAGGAGTTGACTTCTCTAAACTGAGAATTATTGGTGTATAACAACTCAACCTAACGGCAAAGAAAAAGGTGATACAATCAAAATAATATGTAGTTATGTAACTTGGAGGTTTGCAATCTCTTTAGGTGTCCCCGATTGATGTTACCACTTGTGGTATGTTAGAAGATTTACACACATTAATAAAGGTATTGACTCAACAGGGAATAATAAGAGATCGGCCGCCATATTGGAGGACAACTAAAAAACTAGTCGTAAACCGGTTTTAGTAAACTTTAACATTGAATATCATCCCCAAGGGAGAGAATACTTTCCAAAGATGCGGCCGAAATGTTGGAGGACACACTAACACACTAGTCGTAGATCTACAACGTATTAAATTTTAACAAAAGATTGAAAATCATCCCCAAGGGAGAGAATACTTTCCAAAGATGTGGCCGAAATGTTGGAGGACACACTAGCAAACAATAGCACATAAGTCGTAAAACAAACTTCTACTGACTTACTTGAGTTAGGACTATATGTCGAAGATTTTTATATTTTGTCTCATTAGGATCGGAAAGGTTGACATTCCAGGTATGATTGAGCAAGAGGAAAGATACGTTGACAACTGAGGCTGTGAATATAAATATCATTATCAACTTATTTTGTAGTTTATACCATACGTTTGACTATATATACTATACTTTTGACTATATATATCATACGTTTGACTATATATACTATACGTTTGACTATATATACTATACGTTTGACTGATATAAACACGTTTGAAAAGACCTCTTTACCGCTTAGATGTATAACGTTTTCCCATTTCAGACCACGTTTAATTGCCTTGAGCAGTATTTGTTTAATCAGTTGAATTCCCACGCAACTGTTAAACAGTCTATTGAAGGTTTTTAAAATAAAGCATGTTTACACAGCACACAAAGAAAATATCTGCTCAGCGGTTTACAGTATGAAGGCGTCCTTACAGACATCGCAAAGCATGGGCTTCGAACAGTGTTCTTATTGACAATTTTAAGGAGCAGGCGTAGCTCAGTTGGTTAGTGCGCGACCTTCAGAGCTTGAGGTCCACGGTTCGATCCTTAGGATATCCACGTCTGTTTCGACTTTTCTCTAATCCGTGTAGCTTCAGCTTTAAATACTCTTAAAACAGAGCACTGATGGAGAGAGGGGGGTACCGTCGGCTTCCATTGATAGCAGTTGAATTTCAACTGAAGGAACTACCGACGTTAAATATAGGTACTTTACTTTATGATTATTTTACATATGTTCGAGAAGTCTAAATATGTACGTTACAGATGTCGCCAAATGCGAACAAGTGTTCTGATTTACGTGAGAGTTGCCATGGTTACGACGTCGTTTAAGCTAGGGACCTCCCAACAAACCAGCACCATGTGATGAGTTAAAATACAAAATAAATTATGCCAGCGAAAAGGTTACGCAATACACCTTAATTAAGTTGATACATACTTTGTTCCAATGACCTGGCGAATATGACGTCACTCATCAGTCCAAGACCTCTGTCCGTGATAGACTGGATCCAAATGGAGTAATATGAAAACGGCTGTAGTTCGTGGATGACTGATTGAGTGCTTGAAGAGTTGACGGATATATTGTTGTGTGGGGAAAGAGAATTGTTGAGTTTGTAGTAAATAGAATATCCACATTGCTTTGAAGACGATGGAGTCCATTCCAGGTTTATCGTGTGTGGATTAGGAGATGTCCAGGAAATATTGATAGGTGGTTTACCAGGAACTACAAAGAAAAAATATGATGGTCAGTTAGGTGCCCAGGCAAATATGGTTAAAAAAATTTAGCAAAAATTACAAATAAAAGCTAGTTGCTAGATTAATGATGGGTTGGAATATGTCCAGGAAATTTTCAGGTTCGTGGCTTTACAGGAACTTCAAAAAAGCTATACAGTTTAGCTTTAAATATCTTGGGTAAGCAAATATTCAGGAAATATTGCAGGTGATTAACAAGTATAAGTAATGTATTAGCAGATGTTTAGGAAATTTGACATTTATAGGTGGTTGTAAATGCAAACAAACGAACAATGGTTAGGAAATGTCCAGGAAAGAAAAGTGGAAGTGGTTACATTGCTTTACCAGGAAGACAAACAAGATGATAGATTTTTAAAGTGGTTAATTAAAAGCGATATTAGGTAGTTACATAAAGATGTTATACAAAGGATAATGGTGTTTACTTCAAAATACGAAGACAGAAGAGATAATGGCCAGTAAATATTTGTAAGTGTTTACCAGGAACTGCAAACACGAGGGTTGTAATAATTCCAGAAGGGCTTCCGGCTTATGATAGATTAACTTAAACCAACGATTTATCATCTTTTTCTAAGTCCATATCCTTCTGCCTTTAAAACATGGAAGAGCTCAGCATATTGTGATTATCCGAGACGCCTAGACAGGACTCGAAATTAGCACTAGCAATTAGCAAAGTGCTAGGTGCTTTTCTTGACTTTGCTATTTGAAAAAAAATCTACAAGCAAACATTTGCAAGTAAATGTTTCCCGGATCTGACCATTTTTTTCATTAAGAAACAGCAGAAATTCAAATGTTTGCTAGTGCACAATAAGGTTAAGTTCAATTCCATGCAAGCGTACTGTAAACGGGTCGAAGTAAACTTACTGTTATCTTGAATCAATCCAATAGATAGGTTGTACAGTTTATTGTTCCTGTACAACGCGTTGTAGAGTGGCTCCAATTGTTTAGTAATAACCAAGGCATCTGAATCAAAAAGCATCCCAAAATGTGCTTGTACAGTGCTGTTCGTACTAATAGTTGTTCTCCTGCAAAACAGAGATAGAAAATAAACCAATTACAATTGCCCTTCGGATTAGATAAGACTTCAATAAAAGTGCAAATTCATCGTTCGTGGTGAATATTAGTTGTTTGTACTCGTATGACAAAATCTTATGTTATGTTATGTTGTGCTTTGAATAAATCTAGTCACATGACCTGTGATAACTCATAATCACGTGATCTGGGCTGTTAAAAAATTTCAGTGCCAAGTCACGTGGTCAGAATAATTACTGGATCACGATGCGTCTCCATTTGTGCGGTTTTGCACGCATAAGTAATGGACGCGAGTAATGGTATTTGACATGGAGTATGATATGGTGTCAGCGGTAAGATCCAGGTAGAAAATAATTACAATCCCAGCCAACAATATAACGAAAATGGCATCCGAAATTGGCATCCAAACTTGGATAAAATCTCATTTATCCCTCGAAAATTCCTTAACTTTGGTTATTTAACAATTATTCGCCGAAGGCGAAGTGAATATCGGGGAATATTTACCGAGACGCGAGTCTTCGAATATTCTGCGATATTCACTGAGGCTGAGGCAAATTATTGTCTTAGTATAAATACACAGGTGATTCTTTWAAAAAAAAAAAACGAAGAGAAGAAAAAAAAGGCATTTTTTTCCGGTAACAGCAACAAAGCGGCTTGCCGCCATTTTAGATTATCGCTGGAGGTGATTATCGTGTGATAGTGTGAGTTTCTCGACCAATCAGCGCACGAGATTTTCAAAAATTACCTGTGTATCTTAACTAAAGATGATTAACCTGAGCGCCATGATCACATTTCAGTTAAAACATGATTGAACAATTTTGAACGCCGAGGCTAGCCGTGGAACGACTAAACGATTGTCTGTGCTTCTCAAGTGAGAAAACACGCGGGCAGTTTGTAGCAATTTTGCCGATAATTCCAACTTAATATGAATTTATCAAGAGACGATTTTGTTTTGATCAATAAAATGGATGCCAAAATCATAACGTCAGTTTTTACGATTTTTCTCGGAGATGCCTAGACTCATTTTGGTAATGAATTGATTTAAACAAAACCCTTTAAGTAGCGCACGATATCGAGCACTCGAGACATCCACATTTATAACCATAATTACCTATCTCTTAATGATATTCTAAGTACTCTGATCTGCACTCGACAAAACATCACGAAAGTTGAATTACCTGAAACCATGGATTAGAATCCCTTTTGAAGCATTTTGTTTACTGTACATTTGGTTAATCTGAGGGGGAGATATAAATACTAAGATTTAGTACAACTATTGGCTTGTAAAATCGTGCGCTATTGTCCTGAAAATAGTATGGTAATCTGCTTTCTAAGACAAAATTTTCAAGTTTTATCGAATCTTGTGATGATTAACCCAACAGACTAATCTAAGTCATGGCAAGGATGAAAATGTCTGTTGAAAAGGAGTACTCATTCTTCTCTTCTTTTCTCTTGTTCTCTCAGTTTTTTTTATTTTTGTTCCTTTTTCGTAACTTCTCGTGTTCGTGTTTAACCAGAGTGTATATACTACAGAAAGAGAAGAGAGAGAAAAATACGCCCTATACTAACTAGCGCTGTCTCAGTTTCAGCGAGATAACGAGTTCTATTAAGAGCCTGTGTTAAGTAGTACTCTTAACGTGGAGTATCCACGTTGCAAGTGGAAAAGCTCTCTAATGGTTTTTGTTCCTCTTTCGTCAAGTCGATTTATCAATTTTTCTAGTTTTTGCCGTTTATCACTTACATTATCTTTTAATCGAGTCTGTAAAGCAATAGAGGTTGGATGTGTCTTGTTTAAAAGATCTTCATTCCATTTTTCTTCTTGTAGATTTAATGTGACGTTTATAATCACTGGAAGTTGGACTTAAAGAAAGTGAAGAAAGGAAAAAATGAAAAAGAAAATACAGTTAACTATATCAACAATAAACATATTGGAATGACCTCTCAATTTGAGGATATTTTTCAGTGTTAGATCTTGAAAATTCAAAAAAAGATTCGTCGTTAGGATACGTTCTACGAGTAGCCTACGTAGCAGCCCTGAATACTTGTGGGATATATTCTACAAGGCACATAAGTGAACAAATGAAAACATGAACTCATTTTATTATTCCATTACTATTATACATCCAAAATGGCGGCCCTCACGTCATTATGCAAAACCTTTTATGACCACTGAAGTTTTCGCCCCCAGGCCTACCTTCGTTCGTCGTCTTGATAACCAAAGACAATGATGATTCCCCAAACCCTCTGCGCGTGATACTCTTGATTAGTATCGAGTAGTTAGAAGTGGGTTGTAAGGACTTTAACTGGACATGACTTGTTCTGTGGTCTATCACAATCATATTCGACACATTTGTATTTTGTAGTGTGTATGTTACTTTGTAACCCAAGGTTGGTATTCTATCATGAAAATGCGCATGCGTCCATGACAAGTCTGCTGTAATGTCTGTTGCCATGGTAATGGTTAGGTTTACTGGTGGTTTGCCAGGTACTGCAAAGAAGATTTTAAACAAAGAAACAAAATCAATAAAACAAAAAATGTTAAGGAGAATTGAATAAGGGAGGATGGGGAGGGAGAGAAGAGATGGGGAATTAAAGGGGAAAGGGGGTAGGGGAAAAATGACCAACTTCCCAATGCAAGGTAATAGCTAAGGCTAGAATGAAATGGGGAATTAAAAAAAAAAAAAGAATACTAGGAGCATCGTCCCATCAGTCTAGGTTTTTCCCTTAAATGCTATTCTACCGATTCATTTCACCTTTTTAACTTAAATATGGTTCAAATATCTCAATAAACAAATCCATACTAATCATATCAACACTCACAATTATCCGTGAGAGTGTTTATAGATATATTCTGGATTCTGTGTGTTCTGTACAGAGCGCGAAATAAAACGTTGAATTGAGGCATTCGCGTTGATTCGTTGAAAAGAACGCTGAAATTTGCCAACACGTGCATGGAAAAATTTCTGAAAACAAATAGAACCGCAATTAAGATGATGACAGTAAAAGTGATGACAATAAAAGTGATATAAAGATGGGAGATGGAAATTGATAATTTGCAATGATGAAACTGAAATAATAGACAGATATCTCATACCTATAATGGAGAGGAACTACATTGCATAACGTGGAATCGTTGATATAAAGCTGATAAATCTATAAAAGAAAAAGACGTTGAGGATTTTCTTTTATCGGCGTTATCGCCCTCACCCCTCCCCTCACGGTTTCGACTTGGGTATAAATCTATGAGAGAAAAACACTGATGGCTTTCGTTCATAGCATTCTCGCTTCCTTGCCTCCACGGTTTCGACTCGGGGGGTGGGGGGGAGGGGGTGGGGTGGGGCCGTATAAAGTTTGCTGAATATATTACTTACATTTTGTTTCAACRACGACGAGAGATTCTTGAATGCTAAACTACTGCTATTAGATAGATCATCTTGCCACCGGACGTCAAGTAGAGCTGCCGTGATGTTTATTGCGATACACGAACTTGTCTCTGTCAACAGGACAAAATCGTGACATCAAATAGAAGTTGAAGTCGATGATGATGATGATGATGATGATGATAATGATGATGATGATGATGATGATGATAGTTAAATATTTATTGTGCATGTGCCATTGTATTCCCTTGTATTCGGTGGGAACAACGAAACAAAAATGTAGGTTATAGTAGTCTCAGATTTAGTCACCCTATTTCAGTTTCAACTTTGAATGCCTCTTTTATGAAGTGGCCAAGAATGGATGAGATTAAATGGAAATCCTCTTTAGAAGGAAAAAATGGACAGGTATATTGCTTAAATATAGGATATTTTCAAAGCTTGATTTGCGATAAATACCTCTGCTYGGTTGTAATGCGATTGTTGTCGATCCAACAGCGACTTGAATCGTTGGTGTTGGTGAGACGAGTAAACCAGCTTTACTTGTCGAACACAGGTTTGACTCGTTACGTCCTGCGAGTTAAGAAGGTGCATTTAGTTTCCTTTCCCTTCCTTTCTTCTTTTTTTACTGGTAGAATAGAAATACTTGGGATAAACTTTAAAGGATTTGGTGGCGTTTTTCATCCAGACAGAGGATGCAAACTTCAGCGTACAAAACGTGGTGACATTAAGGAGGGGCAGTGGGATTTAGGCCCCTCTACTGCTCCGCCACCAATAAGGGTGAGTGCATGATCATGGAATGAAAGACTGATTGCTTGCCAATTCCCCTAATAGGGCCTTTCGTACCAAGAATGCATGTTGCACCCTACTGAGTGTCAGTGTCAGTCATGAACATATTAAGCATACTGGTATACGACAGGCCTTAATAGGACTTTGATCAGTAGTCATTCTATTTCAAAAGGCGTTGTCATCGCCAAAGGCCATAGGCGACATGTCACCCAGAAATGGAAATGGTTTCGCTGAATACAAAGAACATTTAAACAGTCTCAACAATAAGGTCCATGTTCTTGACGAGAATAAGATAGAAGCAGAAACACAAGTCATTCCAGTTATTCTTGGATCTTGGAATGACCTATCTCATATCGCTTTTTGCCTATCGCCTATTGCCTATCGCCTTTGGTGATAACAACCATTTTTTTAAATAGGTATATACTGGTATACGACAGTCCTTAATAAGACCTTGATTAGTAGGCATTTATATGTATGTATCCCAATATATAACGCCATATATAAATTTGATTTTTTATCTACCTTCAAGGATGTAGTATTCACTTGAAATACTCGAATTGCTTGAGAAATTTGCCTTATTTTCCACGATTGACTCTTGTAAACATCTCGAAGTCTTAAGCAGGCATTTTCCTCCATGTTGGTATTGAAAACCAGTACAATTAAGAATATCAACTTCAATTGTCAATAAACAGAATCTTGCGCACTCCTCCAGGCTATCAAAGTAAAACCAAATCCCTCGGAAATCTTCGGGAAAACTTTGGTAACTGGTGAAGCTTGAGAGGGGGCTGGGGGCTGGTGGCGAATGAGTTTCATCTGTCAAAAGTCAAATCATTTTATCCATTATATATTTTATTACAAAATAACTGTTATGAATGTCGCGTTCTGATTGGTTTGAAGCGCGTGCTTTATGAGAGCACATTGCACGCGCGTGCACTTTCCGTTGCGTCATTCCTATCTATTACTGTAATTTGTATTTCATAAAAGAAATAAAAAACTTGCTTGCTTGCCGCTACGCGTCGTGCTTCTCCTAACACTTCTCTCGTGTTCTGCCAACCCCTGCGTGCTTTATGACAGCACACAGCACGCGCGCGCGTTTTCTATTTCTTCGCTAATAGGATATTATCCTGATATTTACGAGTTTAAATAAAGTTATTAACGTCACAAAAGTCATTCATTTTATCTATTAAACGTGTTAGCAAATATAATATTATCCTGATATTTTCCAGTATAAATGCAGTTAATAGCATTTATACACTACACTACGATTAAATATTCTATCCGTGCAACTTCTAGCTCACATGCTGGTTTTTGTGGAAGAAAAAAAAGGTTGGTAAAAAGGCCTGTGGCAACGGAAAGAATATCCAGACGAAGTATGCTGTATGTTTTCAAACCAGGAAGGGATGAGTAATTTCCTTGCTAAGTGTCTTAAATTTACTTCAAATTCTCTAGAACATGCAGGGACAGCAGGAAGATCAACCCACGATCACACAAACCTTATTCACGCGTGATGTTTGCAGATGACGCAAAAAGGCAAAATGTTCGTGCTTTAAAACCGGCAGGATTTACGCAAGATGTTGTTGATTGGCATGGTAATTGCCACATCACAGCTCTCTCCATCTGGACGTTTTCCTATCAGTATATCTAGTACATCTCGATAACAAAGATCAAGGTCACCTACTATTTTTCTGTAACATTATGTTTTCTTATTCAAATTCTTTAGTGATTATGATGCGTTCGATTTTCACCATATACGTATAAATTATCTCCAAAAGCATTAACGTTAATTAATGAAATAATACTCAAGCGAATAGCACAAGCTTAGCATACTCAAACGTTAAGGTGAACAGTCCCTTGTAGGTGCCGTTTTTTTGTACTTCAAATGTAATTGTTGATGATAAGAATGTAATTTGTTTTTTATATCTTAAGTTCATAGTTAGTCACTGGTAAACAAAGAAATAACACTAAAGGAAATAGCACATGGTCTTTAAAAAATAAACATTAAGACGATAAAAGGGTGGATAAATAGACCCAATAACGTTAAGCTCGTCATTTTCCCATTTCAGACCACCTGTCCTTCCCTTGAGTACTATTTCTTTGCTCACCACTGTTACGACCGAGAATATTAATTAATATAGATACAACTCAAACAAAGAATCTGATTCTCTGATGAATGGCATGTGGTCTAAAATGGGAAAACATTACGCCGAAGCCTAAAAGGGTCAATTTTAAGTAAACCTTAAACCTTATTAATAACGAACAGGGGATAACGAGAGCTTTAGGATAATTCCACTGGATTTATTATTGGTTTAAGTAAAAGCAAAGTCAGCCACTCATCAAGTATCAATAAGCTACTAATCCCTGTTTTTTGTGGCTTGAAAAAACCTTTTTATTAGGAGCTTGAGGTGCGATTATTAAAAACAACCTACAGCCGCACAACAAACTGGCTCATTTACGTCGGTGTATTAATCCTTGTAATAGATGTTAATATGAATTGATAATTATCTGAAAACATCGAGGTGAGATTGAGGTGAGATTATCAAAAACAACCTACAGCTGCACAACAAACTGGCTCATTTACGTCGGTGTATTAATCCTTGTAATAAATGTTAATATGAATTGATAATTATCTGAAAACATTAAGGTGAGATTGAGGTGAGATTATCAAAAAAGACGCTACAGCTGCAACAAAAAGGCTCGTGAACGGAAATCGTTTAAAATTTCATTCAGTAGAATAATCTTAAAAGGTCTAATAACCACTGGTTAATGTTTTTTCTTAATATTCCGATGGGAAGTATTATATATTATTTATATGAACCTCAAAGTTCGGCTGACTCAAAATACATTACTTGTAAGAATTGAATTTTCGACTGAGTATGAAATTAGAGAATATTTTGATCACAAAATATAAAGAAATGTATAGGGCAATTTGACTTTTCTGTAATAAGACCCATGCGCAGCTGCACAACAGATGTTGCTGAGGTCGTAAAAGCTTTATTATTCCTACGCATTTCGTCTAACTATAACTACACCCCAAACATTCAAAAATCAATAGTCTCCTTCACAGTTCCCTGCGCCATCTTGAAAGGTAGCCGTGCCTTTGAATCGAAGCGAGACGAACGGTGAGCTTGCAATGATAGAAACATGTTTTTAACGCCTTGTACGATTATTCACATCTCTCCGGCTATCATTGCAAGCTCACCGTTCGACTCGCTTCGATTCAAAGGCACGGCTATCTTTCAAGATGGCGCAGGGAACTGTGAAGGGGACTATTAATACGTTACTGCCTGTTTGGGTTTTTCCTGTATACGTCGGATTCATAAAGTTATTAGGTTTACCTATAACTATTTTATCAACTTGCCATACGTAACGTTATTAGGGACGGTTGCATGATTGCTAGTCTAAAATACAGGACTTCATAGTAAAAAAACTCACTGACAAAAATATAGAAGTTTGTACTGAGACGGAAGTCAAACGTCGGTAGTAGAAATTAAACATAGTAGAATTTGGCATATGTTGTGCAACGCAACGATCTAATTTTTAAAAAATTGGTAGTTCTTGTAATAACTGTTAAAATAATTATCATCACTAGTACTAACTATCAAGAACGAGTGATGGCCAACTTAATAGCCCCTTAATACTACTATTAGCTAGTATTGATTTTAAAACGGTTTTTCCGGGGAGGTCTGGTTTTCGCATCCATAGACAAATACATTTTATTCTATATTTTTTGGTCTGGCTTTTCCAGCTTTTTCCATCTTAGCTATTTTTGCCTTACTTTCGCTCCAGACATTTTTTCTATGATCTTTTAATTACGAATCCGCAAAAAAAAGAGAAGAGTTATTTACACTAAAAAACATGATGGTCCAGCATGATGGCTATTATACGATAAAGTACATGATCGGCAAGAGGCACTAGAATGGCGTCTAGATAATTGGCTTTCTTTTTTTTTTCTTCCAAATTCTTTATAYACAGTACATAAGGCTTCAAAATCTAGACTCGACGACGCTGGTATTTTTTTTAAATGAACAAAAAAAGCTTGACGGACTCGTCATTGCATTCATGTATACTTTATTGAACTGAATAATGAAAGCCCACCAAGTGATCGGTGTAAAAGAGAGAAAACATCTTTCAGCACATACACGAAAATTTTTAGCGATGCTTGGATAATTTTAAGGCAGCGAAGAATACTTCTTTTAAGTCAGTTATACCATTCTTTGTGGAAACCCAGCGAACGATTTCAGCTTCAAGTTTTATCTCAAATCGTTTGACATCCTCTTTAGTATTATTTTTTGTCGGCAGCGTGTGAGAAAATATAATAACATAGACGCAACGATAAAATATACAATTCTTTTATAGAGTTGTATTTTTAAGTATCACGGCTAATAAGATAATAAGCTTTCTATTGCACGGCGAAACCGTGTTTATCAAGAACTTTCCTTGCAGATGTATTTTCGAGTTTTTTTTTCTTTTCTTTTCTTTTCTTTTCTTTTCTTTTCTTTTCTTTTCTTTTCTTTT